TGTGCGTATCGAGCGATGGGCCCGGCGGCGCGGCCGAAACAGCTGCGCACAGCAGATGTCGTGCCCCCGGGTTCTTTCCCTTATCCCCTCCGCCCCCTCGTCTGGCCCGACTCGCGGCAGGGGCACAAGGGCGCGCACAGGAACATCCCATCCTCTGCGGCCAGGCTTGCACAATCTGTTCCATAGGTTCTGGGTGTTCGTGATGGGCCTGCTTTCCACCACCACGACCATAACTCCTCCTCCTCCTCCTCCTCCTGCTCCTCCTCCTTCTCCTCCTCCTCTTCGTCCTCCTCCTCCTCCTCCTCCTCCTCCTCCTCCTCCTCCTCCTCCTCCCCCCCGTCCAGCTTATGGTGGTGGTGGAAAGCAGGCTCATCACGTCTTCCCCTCCACACTTCCCAGCAGAGGCCTCCTAGATGGGGTCGGACTACATGGGGACGGAGGATCGCGCCGCATCGCCGATACATCGGCGATACCTCGCCGATGCATCGGCGATGCCTCAGCCCAGACACATTATCGGGCGTCTCGAGCACAACACATCGAAGCGTTTTGTTTTGTTCGTCGTTTTGTTCGGCCTCTCGGCGCCCTCGCCGGGCCTCGGGACCGTCAAAACAAGTCGGGATAAAAACAGCACAGCGTAGACATCGGGCGCCTCGAGCAAAAATCGAGGCGGAGGGTTTTGTTCGCCGTTGGTTCGGCCTCGCGGGCCTCGGGACCGTCAAAAAACAATGCGAAATGAAAAACGGGCCCTGGGGAACATCGGGGGCCTCGAAAAGAATCGAGGTGTATGTTTTTTGTTGTTTTCGGCATCTCGGGGCCCTCACAAGGCCTCGGGACCGTGAAAAACCGATCTGGGATGAAAAACTGGTCCTGGGGAAGTAGTCAGGAGGTCGGGGGCCCGCATCTTGAACATATCGAGACGTCGGATGTCTGGGCAGGGGGAGTGGGGAGGGCTTCTTCGAAGGAGGCCGCTCCGTAGAAGGCGCCGGCCCTGCGACTACAGATAAGGCTCGCGCCTTCTAAGGAGCAGGGTGCTTCAAAGACGCCTTCGAATTAGGTCGGGCATGTCCCCCTACAGGCCGATTTTGGGCGAAAAGTTGAAAACAGTCCAAAACAAAAAGCAAATGTTCCAAAAATGCCCCCCAAAAAATTGTCCCCAGACTATTTTTGGATTAGTTTTGAAGATTCCTCCTGTAGAGGGACAGGCCCGACTTAACCTTAGAAGCCTTCCCCCCTCCCCCTTGTAGACGAGCGCGTTCCCCTACTCGCAAAGTAACTACTCGCAAATGGCCTCGATCCGCCGCGGGGGATCTACGATAAATCACATGGATGCAGGCACGTGCTTTCCTGACGTTTGCGAGTGCAGTCGGCCCGGATTAGGAGGTCGACCCGGCCAAGTCAAGGGTACCCTTGTTGTCCCGTGTCTCGCGACCCGTGCCTCCTGCATTCCTCTGGCAGTGCGCCCCTCGGAGAGGGTCTCTCGTCCTCTCGCGTGCCCTCTCCAGTGAAGCCCGACTGTACACCCTGCGAAATGCTTAAGAAATCATGGGTTAAGAAACTCAGAGTCTCAGAACTTGAATAAAAACCCAGAACTTCTATCAAAATCTTAGGATTTACATTGAAAGATTAAGAATAATCGAGACTCTCGCCGAAAACGTAAGTTTTCTTAAGCATCGCCTAGGGTGTATGCACTTTGCGAGTCGTGGAACGCGCTCGGTGACCTTTGCACGCCGCCGAACCTTGCGCCGCTCCGCGTCGCAGAGGCCGCAGCCCTCCGGGGGGGGGGGGGCGTCCAGTAGTTAGGGAGCCCGCAGAGGACGTACGCGCCCAGCTATGTACACGAATGCGGCCCCTCGATCCGCGAGACTGGCCGCGTAATACGAACATTCGGGCAATGCGTACTCTCGAAACCACCGTGGATGTACGTGTACACCCTGCGAAATGCTTAAGAAATCATGGGTTAAGAAATTCATAGTCTCAGAACATGAATAAAAAGCCGGAACTTCTATCAAAATCTTGGGATTTTCACTGAAACGTTAAGAATAATCGAGACTCTGGACGAAAGCTTAGGTTTTCTTAAGCATCGCCGAAGGTGTACGTGCTTCTTTCGCTCCTGAAATAGCGGGCGGCCCTCAGGTCGATGCTGGAGAGAGGCACGCGCGCAGCGGAAAGGGGGAGGGGGCCCAGGGGAAGCGTGGAGAGAAGCACGAGCAAGAACAGAGAGAGCAACACCGGCTGAAGTGAGATAACAAAAGCGAGCAAAGGCGAGGCGGCGACGAATAAGAGAACACATACAAACAGAAACCATACCACAACCAAAAACCAATCACGTTTCTGTCCTCTGATGCATTGCCCCTCGCCCAAGGCGAGGGGCCATGAGCAAAAATAATATAAAAAACGTATAAATAAAAGCTTTTGGCGCTCCGCGCGGATTTCCTGGATCCGCGCTGGACCCCCTCCCTGGCGCGCGGAGCGCCCCAAGGACGGCGCCCGAGGCGCCGCCGGGGGGGAGGGGGTGCCGCCCAGCGCGGATCCGAGGAATCCGCGCGGAGCGCCAAAAATGTATATTTATGGCGCTTTCTTCCTCGAATGAGATTTGGGTCGGGCATGTCCCCCTACAGGCTGATTTTGGACGGAAAATAAAAGCTCCAAACATATTCTAAACTACTCAAGAAATATTCTACCTACTAATTTTGCTGATTGAAATATTCCCCCTGTAGAGGGACAGGCCCGACTTCAGTGTATGTTTGTGGCGTTTTCTTCTTCGAGTGAGATCCGGGGAGAAATCCCAGACATCCACCGTCTCGTTTTGTCCGAGGCACGGGCCCCCCCAGACCTCTCTCCACCACTTTTCCCGCGGGGGCCCAGTGCTCTTTCCCCCGAGGCCGTCGTGGCTTGACGCTCTCCCGAGGCCCAGCGAGGGCCCCGAGATGCCGAAAACGATGGAACACCTCAGTCTCGATGCTGGTGCAGACGCCAAATGTTCGGGATCATGACCCTGGCGATGATATCCACCCCCGTGGGTAGTGATCCCTCCCCTCTTGGCCGCTTCGGGGATGGACAGACCTCCCTTTAGTAAAACGTGGTTTAGTGAAAACGACCTGAGGCCCAAACATGGCGGGCGCAAGCCTGGAAGATAACGGCCGCGGCGCCCTCTCGAGAACCGAACACGGACAATTCACTAATCGACGTGTCACTGTGGGGGTTCTGTCCGCCCCCGGCCGCTCAACAACGTGGCCCTCTCTTGGGTGCGCATCCTTGGCTTCCGCCGGCTTCCGCAGGTCTTTCGCTGGCGGAGCCACCCTCGCTGTACTTCCGCCAGCTTCCGCTCCCCTTCCGCGACCCTCCGCCGAAGAGGTGGAGATGCCAACTCTTTCGACCCTCGAAGGCGATGCCTTGCCCAGAGATCCAACGTATTGAAGAAATCAAGACGGAGGTTTTTCTCAATTTTTGGCTTCTGGGGGCCCTCGCCGGGCCCTGGGACCGTCAAAAAACGACTCAGGAGTAAAAACCGGTCCTGGGGAATGGGTCGGGACTTGTGGGGACCCCGCATTGAAAAAATCACGACATCAGATCTCTGGGTGTCTGGAACCCGCCTTATCCCTCGCCCCCTTGTCGTCACCTCCCCCTCGGCAGCTCAGCCAGCCTCGCATCGGGAAATCCGGTCGAGTCGGACCGTGCGTCGGACGGAGCCACGTCGGCACGGAGTCGGACTCGACTCGGATCGGCCGCACCAGAGCGCACAACAGCGCCAGGCAAGCGTTGGGCGGCATCGGATCGAAAAATGATCGACTTCGAATCGCACCCAGCCGGCCGGAGTCGGCATCGCATCGGTGTCGAGTCGGACCCATCGCATCGGTGTCGAGTCTTGGCCGCTCCCGCAGTCCGCCAGGCCGGCCAGCGCGTCGCCATCCCCGGCCGCGAGCGCGGGGAAGGCGTGCTCCCGGGCGTCCAGCAGCTCCAGGGGCAGGACGTCCAGCGCCCAGCGCACGTTCTCCTCGCGGGAGGGTGCGGAGGACCTCCTCCTGCCACCTCCTCCTCCTCCGCCCACCTCCTCCTCCGCCTCCTCCTCCGCCTCCTCCTCCTGCCTCCTCCTCCTCCTCCTCCTCCTCCTCCTCCTCCTCCTCCTCCTCCTCCTGCCTCCTCCTCCTCCTCCTCCTCCTCTTTTTCCTTCTCCTCCTCCTCTTGTTTCTCCTCCTTTGTTTCCTCCTCCTCTTTTTCCTCCTCCTCTGTTTCCTCCTCCTCCTCCTCCTCCTCCTCCTCCTCCTCCTCCTCCTCCTCCTCCTCCCCCTCATCCTGCCTCCTCCTGCTCCTCCTCCTCCTCCTCCTCATCCTGCCTCCTCCTGCCTCCTGCCTCCTCCTGCCTCCTGCCTCCTCCTTCTCCTCCTCCTCCTCCTCCTGACTCCTGCCTTCTGACTCCTCCTCCTCCTCCTCCTCTTCCTCCTCCTGCTCCTTCTCCTCCTCCTCCCTTTGGACGCACGAGATGGGTGCGGAACAAACGGTAGGTAGCACCCCGCAGATGCGGATACGAGTGAGGGGGCGGGCGCGGGGTTGGTCGCAGGGTTGGTCGCGTGTGTGTCGCGGGCGGGTCGCGGGCGGGTCGCGGGTGGGTCGCAAGTGGGTCGTGGGCCGGGTCGCGAGAGGGACGACGACAACAACGCGACGCAACGCAACGCAACAACAATACGCACCGCGGAACCTCACTTCGGCCACGCACCCAGGGACAGAGAACGACCGTTCGGCCCCCTCACTTTGACTGACGATGCGCAACATTGGACCAGAAAGCAAGCGACACCACCCGCCTACAACCCAGCGATGTCGAAGATCTAAACACTTGCCCAACTGCGACCACCTACGACCCCACCTACGACACCACCCCACCTATGACCGATCTACGACCCCGCGCGTCGCATGTGGGGTGATAGCAACTGCTTCTGTGTCGAAGCAGCCAATGAAAGGCGAAAAGGAACGGGCCTTACGCGAGAAGACATGGCGACCTTAAAAGCGGTGGCTGAGGCGGGCCGCCAGCGCGGCACGCTGGACTGTTGGAACCGAGCCAAGTCTCCGACGATATGATATGTCAACCCGGCGATGTTCCTCGCGCCGGGGGACAACAAAACGGCCGGAGGCTTTCCGATGTGTCAAACTCTGAAGCTCCTCGCCCTGAAACGGGGCCGTCAACAAACTATACCCGGGAGGAGAAAGCTGTCACATACATATACACGTGCATCTGTATCTATATATATATATATGTATATATACAGATATTGTACATGCATATATGTATGATGTATGTGTACATCTACTCACTAGCACCACGTGCGTGCTAGGCGAGCGCTCGCGCTCTGGCCGACTCCGGGGGCGCTATCCATAGGCCTTGCGTGGAGCCCCGGGTACCAGGGGGAGAGGGCCCGAGGCATGGACCCACGTGGGGGCGGGGCTTTCTGGGGAGTGGCCCTGGGCCCTTTAGTTTTGGTCGGGCATGTCCCCCTACAGGGGGATTTTGGACGACAAATCATGCAGACTCCAAGCATACCCCCCCCGAAATAATCTAAATGTATACAAGCAGTCGTCCCCTGACCATGTTTTTCGATGTTCGAATCCTCCCCGTGTAGAGGGACGGGCCTGACTTTACCCCATGGGGCGAGCGCGAGGCCGTCGGAGGAGCGCCTCGGCACGGCTCCGGCCGAGGAGGGACTGCCAGAGGCTCTTCCAGACACAGCTCGAAGAGACGGCCTGCCAGGCGGCAACAACAGGAGGCCCCAGAAAAATCAGAGGCGACGACAGGGGCGAATAGCCCAGGGGAGGAAAATACATGGATTCAGGTGCGCCGAGGATCTGTGTCTTTCAAGAGGCTCCCGGGCGAATGCGTGTAATGCCTGCCCCCCTGGGCTCTTCGCCCCCTATCGCCGCCGCCGACACAAGGGAGCCCGAAGACGGCCCGAACCTGTGGAACTCCTCCGGCTGGGGGGCCAGGACTCCTGGATCTCCCAACTTTTTAGGTTGAGCGGATACACAGAGGGGCCCGGAGAGGCCCCAGGAGCCCCAATAGGGGTCTCCAGTGCCTCGATTGGGGGCCCCTGGGCTCGATGATGGAGCCGCTCGAACGGGCCATGGGGCGGGTCAGATGGCTCCCAGACCAGCGCACAAACTCTTGGACGCATGTCTGCGGGATCCGTCTTGGGCGTATCGTGTAACCGTTTTGGAGTCGTCTTCGGCCCATCTCGGGCCATCTCAGTACTCGTTTGTTCAGCACGGGCTGTCGCTGGCCCTTTTCTTCTTCTTCAAGTTGTGAGCAGAGCCTTGACATTGTGCAGGAATCAACTACACGGAGGGACCCCGCCTTGCGCAACACATGGCGAAATCACATGCAAATTGAACATCGCGAGGGTGAGTCCATAATCCCGGGGTGGGGTCGATCCTGATTTTCTTCTGGATAGGAGAATCTATGCGGTGCACTATTTGTGGTGCAAGCTGTGCGGTGCAATCTATCTTGCGTAATCCAGGGCAGCGACGGGGCGGCGACGGTGACAGCATCACCACCAGACCGACAAATAGGTGCAGAACGTAGGCGGCGACGAGGCGGCGACGGGACGGCGACGGCGACATAGCTGCCAGACCGACAGGCAGGCACGGTTCCTTGGGCCAGAAGTACAGTGCCCGTAAGTGCAAGCACTGCTCCGGGAAGAACCCAAATGGAAAACCCTGACTGCAAGCACTGTTCGGGTACCTTCTCAGGAAGCCGGAGGGCTTCTGGGCAGCCCCGCCGTACATATTGTCAGAAGGCACCCTCCTTCCCATTCCCCCTCCCTGCGGTGGCTCGAAGATGGGGTCCTGAAGGATAGGGTCCTCACGACGAGGTGCTTCGAACAACGTAGGCTCACCCTTGGATCCCATCCCTGAGATCCGACGAAGCGAAACAAAAAGGCAACATCGCGAAAATCCGCGACCAGAGCCCCGGAACCCATCTTTCTGCGCCACTTTTCGAGCCGGATCGATCTGTGAGGGCACCCGAAAGAAGGCGAAAGCGCCCGGCTCGAAAAAACTGGGTCGCCAGGATCTCAGGGATCAGATCCTTGGGTCCCCTTCCCTGAGGTTGGACGCCCGAGTTATCCGGGGTAACTCGGGTCTGGGGTAACTCGGGTTTGGGTTTCCGAAAAACGAACCCGAGTTAGCCCTGACCCGAGTTATCCCTGATGATTTGGGGCTCTGGACGCCCGAGTTATCCGGGGTAACTCGGGTCCGGGGTAAGTCGGGTTCGGATTCCCGAAAAACGAATCCGAGTTAGCCCTGGCCCGAGCTACCCCTGATGATTCGGGGATCTGAAGGTTGGCGCCCTCCGGCCTCGTTCTCCTCCGGCAGCAGCGTGCAGGTGCTGTACACGAGGTCCCCGCCGACGCGCAGCAGCTCCGCGGCCGCGCGCAGCAGCTGCCGCTGGAAGCGCGCGTGGCCGCGCACGTCCTGCAGGCTCTGCCCCCACTGCAGCAGCGGCCGCTGGCCCATGGCCGAGCACGGCGGGTCCGGCAGACCCCCCTCGCCGCGCGAGCAGAGCACGACGCTCCCCAAGGGGCCCAGCGCACCGAAATCCTCCGAGGGTCGTGGTGCGGCGTCGGGCCCCCCTGCGATGTGTGTGAGACTTTTTGTTCTGGTGCGGCGTGATGCAGCGGCGGCGGTGGCACTGACTCTCTTTTGTTGTTGTTTCTCTCTCTCTCTCTTTTCCTCTCCCTCTCTCTCCTCTCTCTCCCTCTCTCTCTCTCTCTACCTTGCTCCTCCTCTCTCTATAATATCTCTCTCTCTCTCTCTCTCTCTCGCTCTATGCATTCTCCTCTCTCCGTGTTCCTTGTCCTCCTCCTCCTCCTCCTCCTCCTCCTCCTCCTCCTCGTCCCTCATTCTAGTCTCTAGTCTCCCTCTCGTCCTTCTCTTCCTCGCCTTCCATTATCCCTCCTGCGCACCTCCTCCCTCGTACTTCTCATCCTCCTCCTGTCCCCACCCTGCCCATTGGAGTAGAATTGGGAGGAGAAGGAGTATGACGAGGAAAGGGTGAAGAGTCAAGGGTAAGGAGAGGGGCGAGGAGGAGAAGGAGGAGGAGGATGAGAAAGGGGGAATGAGACAAAGGAAATGGAGGGGTGCAGAGTGAGGAGTGACGAGGAGGGGACGGAGCAGCAGGAGGAAAACGAAGAGTAAGAGTAACAGGAGGAGGAGGATGAGGATGAGGAGGAGGAAGAAGAAGGGAGGAACGACGAGCGCCGAGGAGGGCTGAAAGTCCCCCGAACTCATCCAGCCTGGCGCCAGCCAAGCTCCAGATTGGATGAGTGTGGGGAACTTTGGGCCTTCCAAGGGTTTGCCCCTCGTCCTCCCCCTCCTCCTCCTCACGCCTCCCCCCCTCCGCGGGGGGCGGGATGGGGGGGGGCCCCATGACCCATGACCCATAGGAGGCTCAGTGCCAGCCTGTTGCAATGCACAACGCGAAAACGCACGATGCGCAGCGCGAGCGCGAGAGAACAGAGCCCGGGGGCGAGAGCCCCCGACCCGGGCATGAGACCACACCCGGCGAGAGGAGGACGTGCGAGGCTCCAATAGGCCCAGCGGGCGAGCGCCAACCCAGCCGGGAGGAAGGGACCAGGGAAGGGAGAAACGGCCGCGGCCCGAGGCAGCGCGACGATGCCACAGGCTACCTGCGCGTCGGCTGCCCCCGTGACGAGCGTCCCAAGAACCTCACGCAAGGGCTGCACCGTCAGCACCGAGCCATCCCAGACATGCGACGTCCTGATTGTTTCAGGGCGGCGTCCCCGGAAGTCCCGACCCTTTCCCAAGGACCGGTTTTTCGTCCTGAGTCTTTTTTGGACGGTCCCGAGGCCCGGCGAGGCCCCCCGGGGCCGAAAATTGAGAAAAACCTCCCGTGCTGATTTTTTCACGACGCGATCATGTCTGGGATCGGAAGTGGGCACGAGCCCCACAGAGGAGCGTCGCCACGGTGAAGGCCGGCCGATCGCAGGTGGCACTGCCGCCAGCCCGGCAGCGGTGCGACGGCGAAGGGGGTGACCCGAGGGGGAGAGCAGGCGGGACAGAACCTGAACTGAAAAGGCAGGCTTGGGCAGCTCAGGAGGCAACTAACCTGGGAGGTCTTCGTCGGAAGGACTGAGGAGGATTATCAGCCCCGTTGGGGGGCTGTTACGCTGGAGTGGGCCTCGGATTCAGCGGAATTCAACTGGATTAAGCCGGATCAAGCGGGATTAGAAGCCGGATTGAGGGGGAATGAAGCGGATTAAGCCGTACCAGGGCAACATCAGAATCTGACCTCCCAGGAGTTGCATCCGAAGGCAGCAAGGGTGTCCAAGACACGGGTTTCGCAAGTGCATGCGCAATCGCAGGTCGCGTAGAGAGGCAAGCGCGCTGAATGCTCACGATGGCACTGCCTGGTTGAAGGGCTCTTCGCACGACGGACCGAAGGCAAAGACCAACACGGTGCGAACGTGGCAGGGCAAGACACACGGATAGGACGTCAGGAGGACAGCTAATGAGCAGAGACCTGGACACGCCTTAAACATACAAGAAAGCTACTGCATCCAGTCGAGTAAAAGAGGCGAGTGCACCGAATGCTCACGATGGCAGTGGTTCATCGCACGACGGACTGAAGGCTGCGACCGACGGAGTGCGAGAGTGACAAAGCAAGGAGTGCGGGTAGGATGCCAGAGGGCAGCCAAGAAGCAGAGACCTGGACAGACCTAAGGCGCGCAAGGAAACAGTACCAACAACGCCAGGACAGAGTCAACGAGGAGAGGATAGGCATGAAGAACGCACAAGACAAATCAACGGGCTTTGCTGCCAGGGCCCTGCGAGCGACACAAGAACTCATTGAATGCTTCTCTTCGGGAGGCGATCCCTTGCTGCAGCAAGCGCGGCAATTGCACCCTTCTTGCCAGCCTTGCACACCTGGGCGCTGCGCCCGCGTCCACCGTGCGTGATGCGTCGGCAGGAACGGCACGCTGGTGGCCTCCTGGGACCGCAGCTGGGACAACGGGAGAAAAACGGCTACAGTCATCGGCCTGACCTAAGGAACGATAAATAAGGAACGAAGCCCCCTTTTTTTACCCCAGGGAATAGCGCAGAAGGAACGAGAAATAATAGATAACGCATAAGGAACTGTAAACAACGCCTGTAAAACCTGAGGAACGACCGAGCCCCTTCTGAACAGGAAGGGTTCCTTCTTCAAGCCGCTCGCTGTTGCTCGCGTCACGGGCCCACGCCCTTCCTTGCGCGACCCGCACGTCGGCGGGGGCGAGGTGCCCGATCGCCCTCGCCCGTCGTCCCGCCCGCGGCCGCTTGCGCAGGGGGGCCCACGGGCAGCGGAGGCCCCGTCCGAGCCCCGGAGCTGTGCGCGGGGGGTTCCTCCGCCCACGCGGCTCCCGAGCTGAGCCTCGACGTCTGCGGCGCGCCCCTCTGCCAGACAGTGAGGACGAGACAGCGCGCTCGGCGCGCTCCGTGCCACAACGTCTGGGCTGTGCACCAGCGTGCACGTCGTTCCTCTCCCATCGTGCTCAGTTCTGAGTGTGTGCTCGTTTCCAATTGCCCCTGGCCCCCTAGTGGCCAGGAAGAGGCCCAGGATAGAAGAGTCAGAACTGAAAGGATCTTGGCCACCCCAAACATCAAAGAACTTTTGAATACTGGGGAATGAACAATGTGTAGCTATCGGACAGCACTCTCTGCGTGTTAAGCTGGTCGAGCTGGTCTTGCTCCGAATCAACGGTGCCAGCATTGAGGGCACGGACGTCGGCATTGCCCATGGGCCACAAGGAACGAGGGGATCCGGAGCGCGACCGGGAGCGGCCCAGACAGGCAGGCACAGAGGGAGGCCGAGGACAAGAGTACTGGCGAAGCGCATCGTCAGCTCTACCCTGCCTGCTCTCTGAAGTGTCAGCCGAGGCATCATTCATAGTGCGGCGCCCGGCGACAACCTCTCTTGGAGAGCGTGGGCTCGCAGGCGGAAACGGACGGGGGCGTCCCATTGAGGCAGGCAGGGGGGCGTCACCTTCAACAGCGCTGTGCTTCTCGCGGGAATCGGAGGCCTTGCTAGAGCCCAGGGTCGACCACCTCCAACGATTCCGACGAAGTCCCACTGGTGGCCCCCCGGCAACGACGGCCGGCAACGGAGCGGCCCCTGCGTCGGCTATGGCCGGTGGCCCCTCGGCTCCCTCAGGGGGTCCCGGCGGCAGCAGCGCAGCCGGCGACGGAGCAGCAGGTCCGTCCCTGGCCTTCAGTCGGGCATGTCCCCCGACAGGCGGGTCTTGGACGAAAAATAAAACAACGGCAGAAAAATGCTACGAAAATGTTCAAAATTTCAGAATTTCTGAACACTCCTCCTGAAGAGGGGCACGCTCGACTCCACCCTGGGCACAAGAGAGAACTGCTCGGAGCCAGTGGCAGAGGTGGCGGCGCGAGAGGCAGAGGCAGAGCCCGCGGACCTGCACCTCGCCCTTCCACTGGGCGCTCCGGGCGGCGTGGGCGGCGGCGCATTGCCGTGGTTAACCAGCCTCGAACGTATCCCTATCCCTAAGAAGGGCGAGCAAAAAGCGAGGACAATCTTAGGGACAGGCCCTCAGAAACTGAGGGAATCCTCAAGATCGGCATCGAGGTAAGATGATGTCAAACATAGGGATAGGGATATGTTTCAAACTGGTAAGTGGTGGGGGCACGGGGGGCGGAGCCCCCATCCACCCGCCTGGGGGCGGCGCCCGGCGCCGGCGAAGAGCGCCGCCGCCTCGCGCCCAGTGCATGGCGGCGCGGCTCCTCGCCCTCGCGAGGAGCACGCTGACCCCGATCCGCGAGCGTGCGCGAGAAAAGGGGCAAGGCAGCTGCGGCTACGGCTCGGGCCTTGCGTCGATATGGCTACGGAAGGGGGGGGGAAGGCGCAGGAGGGAGGAGGAAAGGCGAGGAGAGGAGGAGGAGGAGAAGGAGGAGGAGGAGGAGGAGGAGGAGGAGATTGAGAAGGAGGAGGATATTGAGAAGGAGGAAGAGGAGGATGAGTTAGAAGAGGAGGAGGAGGAGGAGGAGGAGGAGTGTAAAGAGGATGAGAAGGAGGCGCTGGAAAACCATCAAAATCCAAGGAAACCACCAAGCATTGAATCTAAAGTGCTGGCGGCAGATTATTTTGGAAAACCGCTGCCCCCTCCTAAAAAAGAAACAGCAGATCCGAGGAACATCCCCGCATTATATGTGATGATTATTTTATGTGTTTGTTGAATGCCAGTGGCTTTCCTGAAGTCTCTGCCACCAGCACTTCAGTTATTATTTCTGTTGTTATGTGATCCATTGGTTGAGTTGGCTTTCTAGCGCCATCTCTTCCTCAAACCACACTCCTCCTCCGCATCCTCATCCTCCTCATCATCATCATCCTCATCCTCCTCCTCATCATCCTCATCATCAATCTCACCATAACCATCACCATCAGCACCAGCATGAGCATCATCATCACCAGCACCATCACCATCATCATCCTCATCCTC